ATTTTTATTATAGTCTAAACTGTTGTTACACTCTTTCGATTGAAAAAATTCATAAAGCTAGTACGTAGGAAGCAAATACCAGTTTATTGCTCAAATGTAACTCATCTCGAAATATCATACTTCCATTCACTTTCAGATAAAAAAATCATAAGCATTGTATATTCATGCCCAAATATTACCTATTTAAGTTTCATAAATAGCATAGGATTTAGTAATAGAGCATTAGAACTGATAGCAGGTTCATACCTAAATCTGAAGTATTTTAATTTGTGTGATGAACAGTCAGGTGGTTTTACGAGTTTTCGTGTTCGAGAAGTAGATGATAGAGGTCTATGAAGGATCACAAAGATATGCCATAAATTAAAATATTTAAATATCACCTATCGCACAGAGATTACTGAACATTTAATTTGCGGTATTATTCGTTTCTGCTCAGAGCTCCAACAACTTGACCTTAGCTATTGTGAAATTACCGATGTGATTATCAAAGAAGTTGCTAGATCATGTCTTAACTTAAAATATCTCGATCTGAAGGGATGTGAAGATATTAGCAGAGAAGTCATAAATTGGCTCGTTTCACTTAATCTAAATATCTATGTTGATAATTTTGTGGAGATTTTAATGCCTCCTGATCTTATTAGAGTTGTTAATAATCAAATTTTAGCTCAGAGCCTTTTAGATCTAAGTATGCGAGATATTCAGTATTCAGTTCTATCTCAGATGCGCCAGCGATATAGAGCTGGTAAAAGAATATTAGCCTCAGAATAGGTACTCATGTGTGACAAAAATAGGCTGATCACATAATGGGTCTGTGTAATATATTAATTTTTGCATATATATTCGAAAAAGAAAATATACTAACCTTTATTCTTTATTTTTTCCTGAACAAACAAGAAATATGTGAAAGAAGATCTATACACAACATAGGACGGCATAATTGTAGGATTATTGAAGGATCGGGTTAGTGTTGATAGTTCCCCAACTAGTAAGAGGGCTAGGATCAAAAAATTTATTAAAAAATAATATGTATCATGGGTGCAGTCCCGAACATTTGTATTTATTTTTCACATGTAATAATAAAAAAATTTTCTTGGCATTTTTTCGGGACATAATGTTTCGAAAATTTCTTGGCGAAAGTGATCGATGTGAACAATTTGTTCTCGCGCATGTGATTTTTTATTTGCGATCAAGCAAGATATGAATAATGTATGAAGGATTATAACAAATGGTATTTCGTGAAATGTACACTAAACAGTGAAGAGAAACTGTCGTTCAAGTTATCGAAACCCTTATTTGTTGCGTATGAAGATAAAGCTATCATATCTCATCTATGGAGAGGGCCAGCATTTACGCAAAATTTTATTTGATACTACTTATGCTGATAGAATAGTAAAATGCCCAGAAAATAATGCTTATTACACTTCCTTCCTCAATGTGTTAGATAAGTAGGTAATCAAGCTAATTATTTATATCAAATGACAATAGCAGAAACGCATAAAATCAAGGTAAATATTTATTTATATTAGCTTTATATTTACTATTCAAACTAAATAAGTCTACGTTATTTAGGTAAATGGTCTTACTAAATTACAAAATAAAATGGATATAGATCTACCGACGCATCTATATTTCGTTGTTCCAAACATAAACGATATGTTTGATAATTATTATTTGCAGGACTATATTACAGTAGAGAGAAAAAAGTATGTAGGATGGAATTCACAAACTAATTGGATTCAGAAGATTACTCACTATGTACTTCTGATCGATTTGTCAGATTTTTAATTAGATAGTTTGCTTTTATTATTATAAGTTAACTAAAAATAAAATGTAA